TGCTGTTGTGGAATTGGATGAAGGTGGTGGCAGATGGGGGGGGTTAGACAGTGCCAGAGGTTTGTTTCAGCCTGGGTCGTACGTATCCTGCATGTCACGCCACATATATGTATAAATAGCATCTTTTGGTGGTTGCCTATGCTTTAGCGCAGGTGGGCGTTTGCTGTATGAGATTTTCATGTGAATGAATCTGACCTAGCTCTGAATGCATTGACATGTTTGTGCTCGATCTGGTGGCTGTATAGGCACATTTGTTGGCTTTTTGCCTGTTTCTGGTTTATTAAAGAGAATTAGCAATTAAAAAGGTTTGAAGTTGTTTGAGTATGGAGGCCCCTACTGTCCAATTCCTCGGATAAAAACTTGAATTAAGATCTCCTTTACTTGGCCTAATGCATGCACACCAGAAGTTTGTGTCACAATTGTCCATCGGCCTCATGTTTGCCACTGGTATTCTTTCCCTGACCAATTTCCTTCAGCAAGCAACCAGTACGAGTTTATTTGGAATGATGGAAGCCCACTTGATTTTGAAAACTGGAAATTGGGGGAGCCCAGCCAGCCAAATTTCTTCAGCAGAGACTGTGCCTCATTGAACAGTGGCTACGGAAAATGGGAAACCCAGAGCTGTTCCTCCAACCATTACTTTGCCTGCCAGAAACCTAAAGGTATAAACGGTCAGGAGGAATTGTTATTTCAAAATGCAGCACAATACGGCCGTTTCACAATAGTGCACCACAAGAGTCTACAACACGTTGGCCAATCATTACACGCGAAATTTGTCGACCTTTTCAAAACGCGCATTGGGTCGACAAATTTCGCGCATTGTTATTGGCCAACACGTCGCAAACTCTTGGTAGCGCACTACTGTGAAACGGCCGTATTATTCTATGACAATCATTACCATGGTCTGACCACAGTTGCAACAATGACACTGCAGTCCGTTATGAGCTTTGTATTTGACATACATAACTGAAGTTTGGGAATTGCACAGTCTTTGAATATATTCAGCGTTTGAATATTCTAAGACTAAATGAGAAAGAGAACTCTTCAGCACTTACTTTCATGGCTGTGTAACATGCCAGCTGCACAATTTTGTACTCGTAATCACCAGTCTAGCTAGAATGGCAAACATTGTGAACTGTGAACTCGGGCCCTGATGAAACCTTGCAGTCAGTGAGATGATAGTTGGAATAGCTGGAGTGCTTATGCTTGCTGTGTGTGTAGAAGCTTGCACACTTACATATTTGTGAACACACCTGTGGATGTGTTGTTTTTAGTCAAATGGCTACACTGATAACTGAAATGTATCTGCATTTATATTGAGACTCACCATAATTTAGTCCTTCCAAAGTTCTTAAACTAGTAAGTGAAGGCCAATTTTGTGAAATGCTTTTCTTGAAAATTCTGTTTCATTTTTCAAAACTTCTGCCTTGTAAGTCTATAGCAGTCTTGTAATGCTGCAGTTTAAGTCAATCTTGCATTACCATTCAATGCATCGCTCTTTGTAGATATTGAGGAATGGATTTGTTGAATTTAATTTGCCCATGGTGCAGATTCTACCAGTTGTCATTAGCTCTGAATTTTTTGGAAGACCTTTTTTAAAGGGCCTTATTTTCATTGAAGGTAATAAAAACAATACAATGAAAACATTTCTGATTTTTCTGTTTTCTTTCCTTTTTTGATTCACAGTTCCAGTTCCAGGTAAGTTGCTGCCTGTTATCGTGTTGAACTTCATCACTGCTCATGTCATGACAACTCACACAAATAATATATGATTTGTAGAGTAATTTTTTAGCATTTTGACACTAATTTGATAAAATGTCGCCACTTTTGTTGCAAACTGTTACTACTTTATTGCAAGGTGCCATATAATCTGATATTTTCACTGACTGCTCATTGAAAAGGAGCAATCTCATTTCTGGACCTTAGTGTGTAGCCCGAATTGGAATGGAGGGTTCTTTAGTTCACTTTATTTGTTGTAAAATGTGCTCATCAGTTGTGAGCAGCCAGAAACTAGGACTAGCTTCACTGGGAAACAGTGTGCAGTCCCATCCTGAATTGCAAAGGAGATGGTTAAAGCAGAATTTTCCCCAATGCTCTCTAACTGTTAGTAGCTATTTTTTCAATATTTACTCAAGGGCAGATCCAGAACCATTTTTTTGGAGAGGGATGGACGGCAAATTTGTTGGGGGAGGGGTGCCCCCAAAATTGGGAGTTTCCTTGTGAAACATTTAATGGCCTTCCTAAGGGATGACGTTAAATTTAGGGTTTTACGTAGTCTTTGGACGGAAAGGAAATAAAATTGTCCCCAAAATTTGGCCTTTCCTACATTATTTCTTTAATTCTTAAACAAAATAGCCCTTAGTTACATCCACCCCTCCAGATCTGCTAGGTATTACTCCAGTTTCTTGGACCATTCCAGAATCTTTTGATGACGCGTTTCCTTATTCATCCTTCTTGTTGTGTGTTTTCTGTCAATAGAGGGAGGCTGTGAAAAAGGCTGGTTCCGTATGAACAACTGGTGTTATGGAGCATTCGGCAGGAGTGAACCCACAATGCAAACATGGCCGGATGCTGAAGCAGATTGCAATGCCAAAGGTGGCAACTTGGCAACAGTGTATGGCCAAAATGTCCAATGTAAGTTCAGAATCTCGTCCTGTGCAGGTTTTAACAAGTTTTAAAGGGTCATTTCAGATGAAGAATCGGACTTGTTTTGTCAGTATTTTTCCGCTGAGGGTATTTGATGCTGTGAGCTGAGGGGTGGAGCTTGTCACAGACATGTTCATTTTGCAACGGAAATTGGTCTTACTCTTGGTACATTTGTGTATCTCCATTCCAATTTTTTTAGCAGAAATTATTGATTGATCTTCATAATGTTCGGTCAATTTGTGGTGGAACACAGAAAATGCAAGCTGTGATCAGCAGAGTTCTTTGTTACAATTTTACGTCATCAGTTGACCAGCGGACAGTCATAAACCTTACTACATGTACGTGTATTTAAGAATGGTGCAGATCAGCTTAATTGTAGTAGGGGTCAGGTTGAATGGAGAAATCCCCGCATTTTATTCCAAGTTATACACAAAAAAACTGAAATCACATCATTTACTACAGTTGCTTTGACGACTGAACAAGTAATTGCTTCACAGCTGATTAATTCTTGCTTTAAAAGCTATCGCAGATGTGATGTTGATTCTGAGAGGCATTTTTTAATGAAATCTGACAAACTTGAGATTTGTTCAGAGTTTGTAAATTTGCACCCTGAAATTGCATTACGATGTCACAATTGTTTACAATTCAGGTGGGTGTTGTGTTTGACCTGGTCCCAAAGATTCTCCAGGTTGTTCTTCCTAGCTTTCAAAACATGGTCCTAAGTTCCTGCTTCCAAAAGCAAAGTGCATTCTAACTCTTTCAGATAATTAGAAGTCATACATCCTTCTACATTTGCTAACATAAAATCCCTCCATGTCTTCAGCTTTACTGGAAGGGATGATTGCAGAGGAGAGGCGGACATTTGCGTGGATTGGGCTGAGCAAGAGATCCACTGGATTCTTTGAATGGGCAGACGGAACACCCTTCCATTTCAAGCAATGGGACAAGAACTTCCCTGACATGTCGGTAAGCATTTTTAGTAATGAAACCTCATTTCCCAATTTATAGTTCCCTGTGACAAGTCTCACAAATCCATGCAATCCCTGAGTCGGGTCTGTTTCATCTGAGCTCAATACTCCAAATGTCATACATAAATTGTGCACATGACAATCGGCTGTCTTGAAATTGCAGTGTACAAGTGTTCATTATCTGTACATCTCTGATTTCTTCAGACAGCTGTAAGCTGCAAAAATGTAACACTGGAAAGTATTCAAGGGCTTGGAAGAGAGTTAAAAATTCATTTAACTTGAGGTCAATTGTTTAAACCTGTGTCACTGTCCATAGTGATTGAGTCTTACATTTTCAGTCACCAAAACGTGACTAAATTTGCTTTTCCTACGTAGTTTAAGTTGTAATTTTGACCCACAATCCCTTAACCAGGCCAGGAGTAGGTAACTTTTATGTTAACAGATTCTCTCTCCAGACCATACTCGAAGGTGATCTGAAGTTAAAATTTTATCTGTAGAAAGTTTAAATATAATTATGGGGGATGAAAGATGCGGAAGTTTCTGTGTTGGTATGAATATTACAATGCATTGGTATTAATTTCCTAGGTAATGGCTTAGAATTCCTCAAGTGGGGCCCAATTTCACGGCACTGCTAAGCACATGGTTTTATGCTGACAGAGGCATCGTGTAATTTGTGGAGACTGTATGAAGTAAGCACGGCAAAAGGCAAAGGAAAACTTTGCTTCAATTATAGTGACACAACAATGGAAATTTCTATGCGCAGCAGTAAGCACAACCACGCCAAGCACTGTCATGGAATAGTGCTTACGGTCAGCAAATGTTTCTGCTTTAGTGAACAAAACCTTTCTGCCAACTGTTCGGCAGATCTGTTAAATTGGAACCTCAAGGTCTGAGAATGATTGAGCACCACTGCTGAAGAAATGGAACTGTTATGTGTTGTACACAAAGCGATGGCAATACATGCCAGAGAATAAAATGGATGACCATTGCTACAAAGTGTGCGCAGTCATACTCTGTTATCTGTCTTTTGCTGTCTATCTCAATAGAACAAAGATTTCAAGTGTGTCCGGATGAACCAAGACCCCATTTACCCAGGCATGTGGAGCAACAGCCTCTGTGGAGACGAGGGGCCACACTCAAGTGCCAGAGGGGGCTACTTCTGCCAGAAACCTGCAGGTCTGTCCATTGCCAAGTTCTGAATAGACTCGTTCCACGACATAAACTAGAAGCTAAAACTGCAGAGAAACGATGCTTGCATGCAGGCTGTACAGTGTGTGTTGAATGCCTCTTCTGCATGCGGGGCATTAAGATGAACAAGCCAAAATGCACGTCCCCTTGCGTCCAGTTGTAGGTTGTGAGTCCCGCGCATGAGAGTGTGATACAATACAGCAGGTGCGTCTCCTAAAACAAGTCTGTATAACTAATATTGAAAAGAAAACTCCATCCGCAGATGAGTTTAGGATGCTTTGTTGCCTATGAAACTCAAGACTTCCCTTTTGGCCAAAACCACTGGACGAACTTCGCTGGCTCACATCCAGCCATAGTTTGAGCATTTTGGAGCAGACATGATTTCCAGTGAGAGCTCAAGAGAACGGTCAAGGGCTATAAAGATTTTATAGATGCTAATTTTATTGAGAACATTTCCAGCAGTTTTGCAGATGTGGCTTCCCCTTTACAAACAAACAAAATTGATCACTTATTATGAGGGAAGCCATGACCAAGTCTTTGGCCGCCTCTAGAATAACCAAGTTTAGAACTAAAAACTATCTGCACCCAGATTTTTATGAGATTTAAGTTTAAAATTAAGACAGGAGGTCCTGGGCTCAAGTTCAAGTTAAATAAGCTCATTGTTTTTCAGTAGGCCTTGGAAGAGCCCAAGTGTACAGCTTTTACAACACATCGGTTTGGAGGAAAACATCAAATACAAAAATTAATTTACGATTTGTTTTTCAGTCATCAGTTGACTATAATAGCCCCTCTTTCCTTTTCCCTATCTGTTTTCCAGATCCTAAACTGCCTCATGACCCCACGGGTGATACCTGTGACCAGAAAAACTACTATCGGTTTGACAGGCTTTGCTACAAGGCCTACTTGGGAAAGGACCAGCTCAAATCTTTTGATGATGCCCTGGCCCAGTGCAAGCAGGACGGAGCCTCGCTGCCCAGCGTGGCCAACGGGTACCAGGAAGGCTTCATGGAGACGCTGCTGTTCTACTACACAATCAAAGATGCCTGGATAGGGCTCAGGAGAGGGGTAAGTTTTCATGTCCAGATTAGCTGGTAGTGGCTGACAAAAACACATAGGTCTATGGGCAGGGGACTCCATCAGCACATGTGCCATTCCTGGCTATGGCTAAGCAATTAAGACACAGCCTGAACACTGTGCTATAACTACTGCTTGTTAAATGAAGCAGATGGCGGTCAACAAGAACAGAACACAGTGCAGATTTGCTTAGGCCTGACTGTTTATGGAAATATCTCTGATTAGAATAATAAGCATAAATTTGCAACACCCCTATTCACTCTAACTTCATGCAATCCCTCAGTAACAGTGGAGAGACACTGGTGGGAATCATTTCATCTGATTGCCTAGTGCACTTGCAGACTTTACATTCCAACAGACACCGGTAACCCTTGCTCAGCAACCTGCAGAAACCTGTGCATGGGAAGTGCATTGAGTCCTTGCTGAATGACCGTTGTTACAATGTAAAAACACTCCATCTCGTGGCCCCTTGCTCACGGTGGAGTATGGAACAATCAAAACATTGTCAAGAAACTACATCTTTTAGTTTACCAGTTAATGCTTCGTTGTCATTCATGTTATCAACCCCTTGGAATTTTGGACTGTGCTCTTGCAGGCTAATGGCAAGTTTGGTTGGGTCAACAACAACACCCACACTTACCGCAACTGGGACAAAGAGCCCGACCAGGGGACCAACAACAACTGTGTGCGAATCACCAACCGCCAGAAGTGGGAAGGGGTACCTTGTGACACCAAGCATAACTTCATTTGCCAGATGGGTAGGGTCATTCACCCTGGACGGGATTAAGCATTCCCTCGGACCTGGGCCTTAGCTGGTCCGTCCTAGTTTCAAAGTGAAACAGTTTCATAGTGCTGTAAGCAGTAGAGCTTTACAGTTTGTGTTGATGGCGAGCTGTGCACTAGCTTGTTTGAATTCCCTTTCCCCACAATTAAACATTCCAAGAGAACTGCCGAACCATTAAGAACTGTGCTATGAGTCACACTGGGGCATTTTCGTGGGCCATCAAATGTTTTGCAGGCCCCCAAACTTTTGGCAGGCCTTACTGTGCCTATTGAATAGTCTGATCCTTTGCATTTACAAAAATAAATTGGCCCTCTTTTCCATCTACCCCCATCGACGGTCATTGACTGCTGTACTCCATAGCTATGTGTACAGTGGGTTTGAATATTCAGCTGATTCTGAGAAGGTTGGTGGTCACTTGGCTAAGACAACGACCGTAAGAGGCTTAGGTTTGAATCACAGCGAAAAAAAGCTAGTGAATTTCCCTATATGCTCTCAGAATGGTTGGATTAGATTGCAATTTGCAATAATTTTGTATTAAGTGAAGGGTAAACTAGATATTTAAACCTGGCCCACTTCAATATGAAGAGTTACTGAAGGGGAAGTCCTACATAAAGTCACTCTTGATGACAAGGGCTCATAATTATAAGTCCTTCAATCTTTCAAGTAAATCGCTGTAAAGTTCCTTGTTCAGGGCAGTTTTTCCAACATGTCTTGTACTGTTTGGTCTGTTTTGTAGTTGATACCAACCCACCACCACCAGGGACTACTGGTAAGTGTTCTGATGATGAATACACAGGGCAGGTTGAGAATGAAAGCATAAACTTTATTTAATACTGGGCATGGTGGGTGAATGAAATCTTGTCGATTGTGCCAACCCACCGCCACCACACGCATCGGCTGTAAATAGATCCAGCAAGTTTGAACAGGACATTTCCAATGGCCTCCATTTGATGACGGAAGGTTGTGTCGGGTTTGAACGGAGCGACTGTCATGGAACAGTGGCTGTCTCCAATAGTTATCACAAAGCATATACTGCCATTGGTGGGGGCCACCACAAATCACTAGTGATAGGATTACCACAGTCGGTGGATTTGTCTAGTGTTGTATCCAAGACCTTGATGTCCGAGACCGAGACCGAGACCTACTCCGTCAAGACCGAGACCAGGTCTCGAGGCCTACAACACTGGATTTGTCTATAGCTGGCAATGTTACACTAATGGAAATCACCACCGTCATTCATCACAGACTCTTACTTTACTTCAAGCCCCGGTTTGTTATGGATGCAGCTTGTCATCCGTGCACAGAACCCATAGACAGAAATGCTGGGGAATACTACAATTCCACACTAAACTTTGTAGTATTGCAGTGAAATGAAACCTTGCCTGTTGATGGTTGCCCTAAACAAAGGCATGGGTCAACTGGGAGCAACTCCAGCACAGGGCTGGGTAGCTCAGTTGGTAGAGCATTTGTACTGTTTTCTGGAGGTCGCAGGTTCAAATCCCCCTGCATGCACTTTTTGTTTATCATATAATTACTGTGAAAGAGTATGCAAAGATGGAAGTACAGTCTCTCTAAAAAAAAGAAGCTCTGTATAATTCAGGCAACTCACTTTTCATGTTGTACTTTTTTATTCCTAGTATTGTTTATTCTGCATTTCCAGTAAAGCAAACGCTGTATATTCAAATGCACAACTTTAAGCTCTCTCAATTTCTTTTATCTATAAGCTGGTGGAACACAAGCAACATTGAATCAAACAGGTAACTCATAATAAGACAATCCAATTAGTGACTTCATGACAACTGTTGTACAGACACTCCGGCTTTTTTTCTGGAGCCTTCTTTTAGTTTAAATAAACACTGAGCAACTGTGTTTACTTTTTTATGTGAAATGCAGATTTTCAAGTTCCTGTATGAAAGTTGAAAAACAGTTTCTGAAAGATTCGAAATTCTTTGAGGACCTAAGATATTTGGAACATAAGTTGTTCCATATAAACTCGTTAAAAATCATCTGTTATTGGTGATTCAGTTGCTTTGGCAGGTCATTTATCAGGGATAATTATAAACCCTCGTTTCTTTTCATCCTTTTGTTGGATGCATCGTCTCCCAAAATGATTGGTGTGATGGTCCAATTTATTATAAGAAGAAAGTTGAAACATTTTCTGTTGCATGTAACATCAAAATAAACTCTAATAAACTTTTTTCTTCGGATGTTTTGAACGTAAATTTGCATTCACAAATTGGAAACTCTTGTGAACTGTACTTCATAGCTATAAATGGGGTCCCTTGGGGCCAGGAACAGGAATGTTCCAACTTTCACCCCCTCGAACTAAAAATAAATAAGACAATTGGAGAGTTCAGCAGGGCATTGTGTGTCTGCCATTATGCTTTCTTCCATCAAACTTATTACGAATTCTTCTGCACTCATTGCTTCTAATTGAATGCCATCTCTTTCAGGCATGAGCAAATTTATATGTTTCAAGTTTCTTTTTTCTTGACAGAACCCCCACCAAAACCAACGCCAGGCCAACAAAGGGGTAAAGTGTTTTTTTTTTTACTTTTGTCGTTTTGAACCTATTTTCCTTGCAGACGACATCACGGTCTTCATATCTTCATAAGCACAAAAAACTTTTGAGACAATTTGAATGGGCACTCTTTAAAATACAGAATGTCGTAGAGATCAACCGACAGAGTTTATTTCGTCTCAAGCTCCCATAAAACTGAGGAACTTCATCTGACTTATTACTGAGCTAAAAGCTTTAAAGCCAGGGTGTTAAAAACCAGGTGAAGCCTGAGATGAAGACAGAGAGGCTACCTAGCGTTTGAACCTCCCCCTGGTATCTTTCTCTGCTTTCAGGTCTTGGAGGGGGTGCCATTGCTGGCATCGTCATTGGTACCCTCGCTGCCGTAGTGCTCCTCCTGGGACTCGGCTACTTCCTCCTGAAACATCGCCAAGTCGCGCTCAAAGCCCCGGATTTTGGCAACGCCACCACCACCGGCTTTGACAACGCGGTGTATTCACCCTCCGACGATGACGTCAGGTTTGACGGCAAGGACTCGAGTACCGCCTAAAAATTGCAGAAAACGAAAGGAAAAAATATCAAGTTGGTTGGATACATTTTGGTGATTGAAAAATTCAGAATAATTTTTACTGTTGTGGAAAGACTGTGGAATGGTCTAGCTTGGGAAAGCTTCAGAAATGTCTTTTTAAGAAATCCGAATGTTGCTCAATAAAAATGGGAGTAGATCTCGTACATAATTCTTGTTTGTGGGATTTTTTTTTTGGGGGGGAGAGAAGAGGTGAGTCTTTAACCTATAGCTGTAGGGATGTTGACCTTCCCAGTTCAACTGATATTGTATTCTGTGTTTAGAACAACTTTATTACTTAACTCGTGTATATGAGTCAACCAGAGGACTCTGTATTGCATGAAGCCTGGCATAGGAACTGTTCTGTTTGCTTTATTGGAGATGAAGTGTTTACTGTCGATAGCTGGAATTGGTTAAAACAGTATTGCAGTGTTATTAATGCCTTGTTCCTAACAGATTTTGATGCAGGACATGGGGAAAATGATCAATAAATTTGTTTTGTACGAAATAAATGATCAACTTAAAGAGTATACTAACTCATAATTGCCTCCTTAGGTGGGTACAGATTCTTGAATTTTGTTGCGCTGGTTTACACTTTTTATACGTCGTGAATAATGTAAAATATGCAGAAAGACGTCCAAATTGTAATCTAATCATTTACGTCCTTCTATTGAAAGAAAAAACTAACTAACTGCAGAACCCGGCGTTTTCTTGCGCTGTACCAGAATTGCAACTTTGTTATGACATCAGCTACACGTTAGCTATTTCCGTATGCAGAGTTGCAGTCTAAAAGATGTGAAGTGTGTATAAATTGTCTCATTAACGAAACATGAGTTTAGCTCCAAATTTGTAGTGTGTTATAGTCTAATCAAATATTCATATCAGTACTGTGATTAATAAAGGTACAAAGTAAACGTGACATGATTGTATGATTATGTAGAAAACAGGAAACCTAAGCTCGTTACACAAATAAATCATTTGTTGTTGCAAAATCATGACTTGATTGGCCTTGCGAAGTAAGCGACAAAGATAATTAAAATTGGAGCAGATGTCGCAGTAGCGGCAGAATCCGCCTTGCGGGGTGTTTGATTCGTTTTGTTTTGTGGGTACGGGGTCTTTCAGTTCTTTCCGGGGAATAATCGGCTGTCAATCTGTGAAGCTTTTGAGGATGAGTGTAAAACTAATTTTGAGATATGAAGAGGGACAGGCTTCGGTTTTGAGTCTGTAGCTTCAGATTTGAAGTCTAGGTTTTTTTTTAAAGTATGGACAAACAATTGGACAAACAATTGCCTGTATTTGTTTACATGTGCTTCCAAAATTAATGTTCAACCTTTTTTGCTCTTCTGTGCAGCTATCTCTTCTTTGCCATGTTTTTTCGCATAGTTTTGAATCCCTATGGGCCATATTAAGGAAAGAGAGGATTTTTTTACAATCGAAAAATGATTTCATTGAATTTTAATGGATGGAATTATGTGTAAATTCCCTATCCGCCCCGAGCTGAAGTGCACCCCCAATCGGCAAAAGAAAGACGGGCAGTACAAGTGGGTTCTTGCATGCGTTCTGCGTGTAAGGGTGCATTCCGCCAAATCTTGTTTCTGCGCGCGAGCTCACTAATATTTTGTGATCCCACGGGATTTTTACAATAAGATTGGCCATAATCAGGAGGCATCATAGAAATATTTCTATCAATCCCGAATTTAGGACTGATTTCTTTCACAAAAGCCCCAACTTGATTGTGGACCGTTATTTTGGACAGAGGCGGGCAGCTACAATGAGCGCTTAGATTTACTGCTATTTTGGGGGTAGGGCCTATCCTCGTTCAAAGGCGGATAAATTTTTTTCGTGGCTAACCCCCATGAAATTGAAACGAAAAGTGATCTTCTGGCCATAATTGTGAATTTCAAGTGAAAAAATGGAGGTCAACCTCTTCACGAGAGTCAACACTGCAGACACTTGCCTGCCTCATGGCGAGCCTAGGTATGCGGTGAGTACCACAGACATTTATTTATGGTTATTTATGTCTTTGGTGAGTACCACTGATAGAGATCAGTGGTGAGTGCCAAAGATAATAGTGTAGCGCCGCACAGCGGCGCTTCGCAGCGCTACACTATTTTGTGAGTACCAAAAAACACGCCCTCGTTTCTTCCGCTCGGGGTTGAATTTAGTCGGGTGCCGTCTCAGCTACGGTACCCCGCCGTTGTTTTGAATAGGAGCTGTCAGGGTTAATACATGTACAATGTACATGTACATGTAATGTGGCTGAGTGCAATGCCTGGCTCTGTGCATTTTTATTCCTCCATGGCGTGACTACAAAACGACGTTTTGAGGTGTCTCCGGTTGTTGGAAGAATTATCCCCTTGAGGTTTGATTTAACGGTTAGTAATTAGTTTTTCTTAATCCTAAATGTAATACTGAGTTGTAATGAGTTTAGAGTAATTACTGTAACGTACTAATGCCATTGATTGTCATGAATGTAGCTTGTAGTTGTAGATCTATGTTACACTTTGCCAACTATTTCGGACAGTCATGACCCTATGAAAGTTTAGCCTTCAGGCATGGAGGCCTGGCAGGCAAGTGGCCTACATGATGTAGGCACACACCCGCTGACGACTGTTTCCCGAGTAGTGAACATTCAGTAGCAACCCATGACCACCTGATCCATTGAGTTGTTCAGCAGACATTGTGCTATTCAGGAAACAGTCATCAGTGCACGTGTGCCAACACGGCATGCTTTTTTATGAATGCTCCACTTGGTTGGCTGCGCTGTAGCGTTGTCTTCAGGACATTAACATACAGTTCAAGACAGCAACATTGAGCTTGAGGACAAGACTGTTTCCGATTTGAAGGCGACATTTTTCTTTCCTCCCTCATGTGAGTAAACCTTGTCATCATTATTTAATCCTAAGCCAAGCGTATTAGACAGTTTAAGGACCAGTTTGGAGGTGAATTTGGAGAATTTTTATTTGGGGTATGAACTATTTTGAGTGAAATGAATTAATTTTATATAACAGGTTTTGCCCTTACCCAACGCATATCAA